TCTCTCTCTCTCTCTCTCTCTCTCTCTCTCTCTCTCTCTCTCTCTCTCTCTCTCTCTCTCTCTCTGCCTTCCACGTGTTTTAGGTACGCGGTGTATTACGGTATATGTGTATTAATGGCCGGGTAAAAATCACACGGGAAATTAGTGCCGGCTGAGAGCACTCGCGTGCGTTAATCGACCCATCGATCCGCGTTTTGCACGACCTCGCTCGTTTCCGCGAGGAGGAGAATGCGCGCCTCGCGAACACGCCGCGGAAAAGAGTCTCGGGAAGGGTTAATCGTCTCCTCGCAATCACGGAGATCCGATCATCTCGTACACGTCTTTAAACCATGCATGTTACTACTCTACTATTTTATTATAAAAAATATGATTGAAGTAAAAAAAAACTTTAGTAATTTAGTTAGATCAACCATTTTTCCCTTTCAGTGCAATCCACTTTCCTAGTGGCCATTGAAACATATTTATTAATATCCTTTCACTGTATAAACAAGACCCAAGTGGTTTCTTCTTCCACGATCATCGAAAGGACATTCGCGGGTATCTTTAATCTTGGTGAATCGACTTTATTGATCTCATTATTACATCACATTACTCAACCCCGAAAAATTCCGATCCAACCCTCAGATTCAGATCTGTCGTCTCACACGAGACAGCAACGGCTGTCAACACAGTCTTTTGTGTTAACACACGAGACCTTGCGTACATCCGGTATTGAATCGCGCGGCGCGGCGTTGGAATAAATAAATTCGCATTCGCAACTCCGCCCAGGGCCGAAGGAGTCGCGGGGAATTTAGTTGGCCGTTTGTTCCAGGTTCTTACGGTACGCGCGCGCGCGCACACACACACAAACACGCACACACACACACACACTGCCATCGTTCATTCGCTCAAGACCCACGCGGCGCGTTCGGTTCCACTGTGTGCCGTCGCATAAGGTGCCCTTGTGCAGCACTTTGAACGCTCGGTTTGCATGGCATTCGTCTCCTCATTTTTGCCGAGTGGCCCGCGTGTGCGCAAAACGGCCGCGCCCGTGCGCGAGGCACTCGTCGCGTTGAGCTCGCGAGCCAGGTGCATCGGTGCTTAAGTGGAATTAAAGTGAATGATGGGGGCCTAGATAAAGCCTAGTCCAGCTCGCGAGCGACCGGACGGGCGTATTTCACAAGTGAATACGCGCGAATTTGTCGGGCGAGTCGGCGAATCGATCATGCCGTTTGGCGATTATGCGCGGCTTACGCACGCGCTTCTCGCATACGGATTTTTCTTCGCGGGTCCTTAGCGACGTTCCTTAGCGAGCAGCTCGCAATGAGCGTCGAGCACGCGACGGGGGGTCAGGCCTCGTCGTGTTCGCGCGATACTTGGCCCACTTCGGCCGCTCTGTAATTCCCGGCCAAATCCGGGACAGAGTTCTATTTGTAATCTAAAGTACCGTGCAAAACGGAAAAGATAGGACTTGTAGGTGCGCGTTTATTCTGACTCTTCAAGGAGGAGAACAGTTTTCCCCGCGGACACAGAATTTCCTCGCGAGTTATTCATCTGATTCTATTCTCGCGTGGGCTCTTGTCGTGCGCGACTCTTTGGTCCGTAAATTTACCGTAATTTTCCACTTTTTTGTTCGAACCCTTGAGAAAAAGAAGTAACGATAATAACTGGGTGATCTCTGAGAAAGAATAAGAGTCACGAAATGTTAATCCCCTCGCGAGTAATCAAAGCTCAAGGAATTGGAAAGGAAACGCGAGAATTGGAATTCCTGGAATATTTGAACTCTGTTGCGAATTATCGATCGCCCGTGAAGCGGGCTTCTCCTCGCCGTAATAAATTCCGTCAGTCTCCGCGGACGATTCTGTTAACGTTTCGATGTATTAGGTGTGCACACACGAGCATGATACGCCAATCCAAAGCGCGCAAAACACCGCCCCACGGTGATTCACGCTGGTCTCGGCCGGATAATTATTTTCCTTGAAATTCAAACTTAGATTAAAACCCAGGAGAAGTATTCCCATTTGGGAACGCGGCTATATAGACGACGGCGCTCTAGAATCGGCTTGGCTCCGTTCCCAAC